TCCGTAAACCCATGTTGATTGGCATTAATTAATATTTCCCTTCTTTAACTCTTTTATTAATCAAGTCCCATATTAATTGTTCCATTAGCCCAGGATTGCTGACAGATCTATAATTAGCCAGGTCATCCCGTTTACCCTTTTTAAATTTTAGCACAGTAAATTTTTTCCAGTCCTCTTGGAATACTAGGAGAGTTCCAGACTTACTGAAAATCTACATTAGCTCCTCAGCCAGCACTTTCACAACTCTTGGATGCAGGTATCTGGACCTGCTGAATTAAAAATGTCTAGCTTTAATAGCTTCTGTTTAATGTTCTCTGAAGTTACTAGTGAAATGGAAAGTATTTCATCATCATGATGATGTATGATTACATCATCTGGCTCTTTCCCAAATACAGAACAGTAATATTTATTGCACACTTCTACTTTTTCTGCATTGTTATGGACAATTCTGCCATTTCCATCTAGTAATGGGCCAATCTTATTGTTAGAATTCGTTTTGTTCCTAATATATTTGAAATATTCCTTAATATCTATCTATGGCCAGCAGAGTTAAAGAAAATATTTATTTTCTACAAATCCTAACTTCTGATTTATATTCCATACTATTAACTTCCCCTTTCTTCCGTGGGGAGTCAAGGTGTGAAAATTTGCTTTCACGTTCTCTCTAAGCCAGGTTGTTTTTAAACTTCCTTCTTGCTATTGGGATTGTTGCTTTTTGAGCATGTAGTAAATGTTCTTCAGCAGTTCCCAGTTATTCACGTTTTACCATTTAAATTCTTTCTCCCAACTGATTTGGCTCATAATTGTTTTCAGCTTTGAGACATTGGCCATTTTAAAGCACCAATTGTGTTTATTACTGGTTTGGACTTTATTCTGGGCTCACATAAAAAAGTACGATCAAGTCATGATCACTTGAACATAAGCTACCACTAATTTTTAGTTGTGTGATCAATTCTTTTTTATCCCTTAAAATAAGATCTAATACAGAATTCCCCCATATTGGATTCAACACTTTTTGATTAGGAAACTATTGTGTACAATACAGTAAAAGCTGTGATATCCGATACTTTATCAACCAGAAAGCTCTATTAACCGTCATTTCTGATATCTCCCAATACAAATCTTCAGTCTAGTAACCGGGACTAGCATACTGCCCAGGAGGATTGCACATTCTGCACTCTACTTTTATGCAAAAGAGGAAGAAGACAAGTAAGCAAGCTGATATCAGGAATTGATTCAAAAAAGCAGCTTCCAGGGTGTGTCATAGGGTCATTACAGTCATCTCCTCCTCCTCCCCCCCCACTCCCACAATGCCCGGTTCAGTAATACCAACTAGGTTGATATTGTCCACTTAGTCAAATTGTGGCAAAACTTTTGGTACAGATGTCCATTTTCCTCATTAGTAGCTACTTTCAATACGGCTTGACCCAGTCACAGGAGATACTTAACATTCTCACTGTTTAGGCCACCAATCCTAATAAAGAACACAAAAGAAGTACTTGGTTTCTTTATCATGCTTACCTTTTTATTTTTGCTTTCTCATCATTTCCAGCAAAATACTGGCACAACAGACTATTTAGAGGATGACAGGGTTCTCAGGCTGTCACAATTTTTTAACAATATTTGAAATTTCATCAGTAAATCAGCTTCATACTCTTCTTGCTCACATACTCTTCTCCACATACCTGTCCCTCCTGTAGAAACTGTCCTCCATTTCAAGTGGAGGGGGAGCCTACTGCAATTCCATAGTAAAAATAGTTGTCCTTGGTATCTCCAGTCTGGCCAAACCCAATAAGAACTGGAAATCTTCAAATTGTTTTCTTGATATTTCCAACGTAACTTTTGTAAATCTATTACTTCTGAACTTATAGACTTTTCCAAACCTCCTTGAGTTTTTATTTGGGAATGTGTGTTGTGAAGTACAAGAACAAAGATTGCTGAAAGTAGTTTTCAGCAATAATTTATATACCTAATGTTTAGGATATTTTAGGTATTCTTTATAAAATGGGGAATGCTTGCGGTTTTTATTTAAATATTCAAGGAAGCTATGAGGCTGAATTGGGTATATAAAATAGGCCAAAACCTAATGAAACATGTCACAATACTAGCTTTTTCTTTTTAGATACTATTTCAGTTTAAAGTTTCAGGACTAAGCATGACAAACTCCCACAACACAGAAGTTGATGCTAGCCGTAAAAGGATTCTGTGGTAACTTACAGTTTTGCTTTTTGTCTACTTAAATGCACTATGCTGACATGGTGGAGTCTTTTTGCTTTGTAATTTCAAAGGTTCAAAGATACTGAACGGAGGGCCTGATGCTCAAGACAGTAACCAGTCACAGCACAATGGAGACAGCACTGAAGAAAAAAGAGACAAGCATGAAGTCGGCACTAAGAAAAAGTGAGGGTAGTTTTAATCTTTGTAACAACGAATTATACTTGTTCCTCTGTTTTAGAAGGCTTTTTTTAAAAATGAGTAATAAAACTTAGCAATATTGTTAAGTTACTACTTAAGTCATGTTTTGGGTACTTGACTGATATTTTACAAGGTTTTTCCTAAGGATTGTAGGGAAACAGTACCAAGTCAATATTTGTCTCAACGTTCAAACTAAAAGTGAGGAAAAAAAACCGTAGGATAAAAATAAATGCTTCGGACTCTTATTTTGATATTTCTTAGTCTAGAAGATCGGGGCTGATTTTACAGAAAGTAAAGGTAGAGGACAGACCATTTCAGGTGTGACAATGACACTGCAATAAACAGTCTTGATTTACTAGATTTCAAGCTGTTTAATACAACCACAGGTGGAAATTGTTTTAAACCTGGAAGCAAAGGCAGCCCAGGTTAAAGGGAAAATATGACCTAGAAAATGATGTGAAACTGCTGTATTTCTACCATAAAACTTTTTTTACAAAATATCTGTAATTCATGTAACATCCACTGATTAATAAACCTGTTAAATTGCTAATTTTAATTATAAAATTCTCAAAATACAATCAGTTTATTCAAACTGTTTTTTACTATGAAATCTCAAAATACTGTGGTGAAGGGGGGCAGATTTATTAAAAGTTTTGAGAGGTTCAGCTGTTGTGTTCTGATCAAGCTGTTTTCTGCTTGTTTGTGTTCCTTAATGGTCTAAATATTTAAAAGGAAAGCTTTGTAAAATCACTTAGGTGGAAAATAATTAATACTTACTTACCACCCCAAACCTCCTCCACAACATTGTCCGTCAATATGGTACCATATAGACAAGGATGGCAGCAGTATGTTGTGTGCTGGGACAGCAGTACCTGGTGTGTGGGGAGTAGACTGTCTATATTATGGGGTTTTAAAAGATGAAAGAAACTTTAAATCTGTTATTTGCTGATGCCTCCTCCTTCAGGTGCTTGTCCATATACTATATTCTGCTAGTGCTGAATGTGCCCAGTGCACTTGAGTTCATATTCTTTTGGTGACCCATGTTGGGGGCCGTGCCTGTGACCTGAGTGTCTTGTGCCTCCAATAGAGGGCATAAAGGACAGGGCACCCTCAATTGCCTCTCTTCCATTTCATCACTTTCAAGTTTAAATTTATAGAGGCGGGGAACCTTTGCTTACTATGCAGCTTCTTCTAATGTAAATAGTTGGAGAGTAAGGTGCCTGGTAATTAGTTTGGCTTTAGGATTAGTTCTAGAAGTTTTGTTTGATAGTTTTTCTTCCTTCAGAAGAAGACTCACTTGTTTGGTTTTTGCCTAAGTATTAGCACTAATATTGGGATTGGTCACTATGACTGAATGCTAATCTCCAGGCTTTAAAAATTGCCTTTTGTGTGGGGTTGTAATGCCTCTCAATCATGGGCATACCAGATGCTTGTTGAGTTTGGATAAGGGGCACTTTACAGAACAATGTCATCTGTAAATGTTTTTCTAAAAGAACCCAGAGAGTAGTCTTGTTTGAAATAGCTCCTTTGAGTGAAGTTAAGGCATCCCTCATCAGAGTCTGGGATGCCTGAGTCAGAAACTTTTGAGCACTTATCTAAAAATTCTCCTGATGGCTCCTCTATGCTTGGAGCTGAAGTTCCTGCTCCTAAAGATGCTTGGTAAAATCTCCAAGGCCCGGGGGAAGAAAGAGCACCAACTCCACAGAAAGAAGAGATTTAGGTATCCTTCACCAGATCCCCCTCTCAAGCCTCAGACAAAAAGGGTAGCATGAGGCCTAAAAAAGGTGTCTCTGGCACCCAGTCAGGCACTGGTCACTGTACCTTTGACCAGTTTCCTCGGTACTGCATAAAATGCCTAGTACTGACCTCTTAGCATGAAGCCTCTGGTACTGATGTCTACAGTATTGTCTGCCTTGTACCAGTGTATTTGGTACCAAAGGCCTATACATTATTTAAAGACCCTTACTGGTTTCTTCAGTACTGGGTTTCCCATTATTAGCACTAGTGAAGGTGTGTCTCTGGTTCTGACTGCTGCTCCGACACCACTATTGAGCGCATCAGCAATACTGGCCAGAGCACAGTCTGAGAGTGCTGCCTGTACACTAGCTGGTACAGTTGCTTCTCCTTAGGAGGACTATTCATTCTCCTCTTCAGGCTCTAAGGGAAGTTTCATTGGCTAATTCCAGAGTGTCTAAGTATTCAGGCCAGTATACACTTGAGAGAGAGTCGAGAGCTGTCTTATTACCATAGACCTAGAAGCTCTAGAAGAGATAGTACTCTGTGATATTGGACTCTGTGGGGAATTCATCATGCTGGAAGGCCAGTGTCTGCATCTCAATCTAGGACTAGATCCCTCACCTCACTTGAGAGCCTTACAGCCTGCTGAACAGACTGGATATAGCTCTGATTAGTAGTCACAAGCAGAGGACCATGCTGTTCCAGCTCATTCGTCATCCCTGGATGAGGTGGTTCCTGTGTCATTTACCTCAACCCCAGATGGTTACAACATATTCCACAACTTGTTACACAGAATGGCTGACGCTTCCAGCTGAGGTGGTCCAGTGTAAAAAAAAAACCACACAAGTTCCTGGACATCCTATGACTCTCGGTACTAGTACTTCTTGCAATGCTCATCAATGAAAGGGTTTTAGAGCTGGCAAAGTTGCTGTGGCAGATGCCTGCAACATCAAAGAGAGCAGAACATCACTACCAAGTGCCTTCACAGGGTTTCGAGACATTTTTTATATTCGTCCCACACCCAGGTCTTACGTGATTTACTATGGTGTATGAGAGATCAGGACAGAGCCAATCAAAAGACAAGAAACTCAAAAAAATAGATTTACTTGGATGTAAAACTATTCTACATATCTCTAAATTAGAATTGCCAATTACCAGGTCCTGTTGGTGAAATATGATTATTTTAATTGGGACTGCATATCTACCTTTGCAGACAAACTTCCTCAACACAACGTGAAGGAGTTTGTTGCTGATTCGCAAAGGTGCATACATTCTTCCAAGCAGCCCTTGATGCTGCAGATACAGCCATAGATCTGGAAATTCCCAGTTGATATGAGGAAGTCATCATGGCTCCAATCACCAGGGATTTCTAAAGAAGAATAAATTACAACTGTGACTCTTCCTTGAGAGATGTGAGCTTTTCCGTGCTAAAACAGCTGAGGCCTTACACTCTCTAAAGAACTCCCATGCTATGTTGAGATCCTTTGGTGCAGGAATGTAGACCTCCAAGTGTAAGCACCTTAAGTCTCAAGCACAACAAAGTCAATATTTTTACACCCAATACAGGCAACCTGATCTACTTAAGAAGTGCCAAAAATTCCCCAGAAGGAAGTCAACTTTATCCACCCTCATTGTCCTCAAGGTAGCAGATATGATTTCTTAATGGGAGCAACGTACAAATTCTATAGAATCCTCCTATTGTATCCTCTCCATTTGGGAATCAGTTTTTAAATTTTGGGGGGATCTGGAGCACCATGATTACGGACCACGACGTGCTAGAAATTGTGGAGATGGTCTAATGCATCCAGTTCCAGATCTTCTCCATCCCCTCTCCTGAAAGTATGTTACATCAGGAGATGCAATCACTTCTGAATCTCAGAGCAGTAGAGTAGTGCCTCAAGATCATAGGGGAAAGGGGTTTTACTTATTTTCTGATTCCCAAAAAGAAGGGGGGTGCTGTAATCCTGTTCTGGACTTGAGACAGCTGAACACTTTCATTTGCAAGCTGAAGTTCAGAGGGTGACTCCAGCATCGTTAGTCCCAACCTTAGATCCACATGACTGATAGACAGATCTCTATTTCCAAGACCATCTTTTCCATATAGCAATTCACCTTTGCCATAGAAAGTATCTGAGACATCAAGTGGGCAATTCCCACTACCTCAAATTTAGGGTACTCCACACCTTCACACTTATGGTGGCCAGATTCCTAAAAGGTCTTATAAGAGTATATCTCCCAGTTAAAGAACCTCCATTTTCTTGGGATCTAAATATTTGTATTGACAGGGTTAATGGTCCACCTTTCTAGCCATTTAACTGAATGTTCCTATTTCATCGTTCCATCAGAATAGCCTTGCTAGTAGTAATGGCATTGACCAGAAAGATAGGAGAAATGCAAGTGCTAGTGGCAGGGCCTCCATGTAGGTCTTCTCATTAAGACATGGTGTCTTAAGATTTTACTGAAAGTAATCTCTACGTTTCTTTTTAATCAGGTTATACACCTATATGTACTTTTTTCTTAAAACTACTTTCAGACAAAGGCAAGGCTAAGCTTCACACCCTAAATGTTCTAAGGGTGCTCTTTCTTCATAGATAGAACCAAGTCAATTAGAATATACTGAGACTGTTCATAGCCTATAAAGACCAGGCAATTTCAACAGAGACTGAGTTTCTGCTTTTCTTAAGCTATGCTATGAATTGACCAGTGTAGACCCATCATTGAGAGGGACAGCTCATTCTATTTTGTTTTTTTGAGAAATGTTCCCATGCTGGAAATATGTAGGGCACCTCCTTGGGGTTGAGTGGACATGTTTGCCCCAGCGTTACGCTATAGTGGAAGCATCAATATCTGAAGCTAATTTTGATAGGTCTGTCCTACAACTATTAAGGTAGACTCCTAGCACCCACCTCCTGTAAGCTAGGTCACTGCTCAAGAGCCACCAACAGTGGAATATGTATGCACAAACACTCGAAGAAGAAGAAACTGTTACTAACCTTGCAGTAACTGTGGTTCTTTGAGATGTATTTTCCATATATATTCCATGACTGGCCTCCCTTCCCTGCTACTACGAAGTCTACCATCTGGCTTAGTACTGGTGAAGGAACTAAGAGGTGATTGGCCCTGCCCTTTATGCCTTTGAAGACACAAGGATACTTTGGAGGCCCCACCTTCCAATGGTCACTGCTGGCCAGAATGAACTTGAGTTCATTGGGCATCTGTGTACCAGCAGTGGAATATATATGTACGACACATGTGGAAGAAGCAGTTACCTTCAGGTAAGTAACAGTTTCTTATTCTTGCTATTTAGCATTTGCACTTAAACTTGTTGGTGCACTCTTTAATATTTCACTAATTCCCTTTTTAAAACTCAAACAAGAGAGAGCAAGTATCTGCTTATAAAAATAAGCTAACTTTCTCGAATGTAGATTCTTAGCTCTTGGCATTTGCATTTCAAATGGCGTTCATGCTTTTTGTATCTCTCTGTAATACATGGGAAGATTCCCTGAAGAGTGGAATGACTATTTCAGCACACACCTGCATTCCCACTGATACTTTTATTTCTTTTAAGCAGTAGAGAAGAGGAATGAAACTGGTTATCCTGGGAGTGTTGGCTGAAACTTTGTAAATTGTGGTTAGCAGAGGGTGCTCTTTGCCTTGTCTACACACATTCAAGTTAAGAAGATACAATTTCTAATTTTTAGCAGATTTTGTTAAACCAATGCAAACCCATGTGTGGACACTTGTAAGAAATAAGAGCAACTGAAAAAACTTATTTTGATTTAGCTTAAACCTGTTCCCTAACAATTTATGCTAAACTGAAATAAACCTGGTTTAAACCAAAATAAGAGTCTACACATCCATTTGCATCAGTTTAGGATTAGAATTAGACTAAATCAGTTTTTAAATTCACAACTTTTGTTAAATTGGCACAACTTTCTCATGTAGAGAAGCCCTTAGACTACAAACTTGATTCTTTTCCATGATAAAACTATGGCATTCCCAGGTAAATGTCCTAAAACCAGCCTTAAACTTATGCAATACAATCTTGGCAACCAAATAGGCTGTCTCTCCAGCTGTGAAGTGAAATTTTCTTACTGTCAGTTGTTTTTCACAATAATACAACGGAAAGAATTGTGTTATGCACCATATGACTTAATATTTGTATTAATCACCTTTACTAATCTGTTTCTATTCACCTGGTTTACTATATTCATATGTTTATTTCCTCGTTATTTTATACAAAACACCCCAAGGTTATCTATCTGAGCAAGCAGTCCATAAACTTTTTTCTAAATTTACACTGCAGTCTAATGGACAATAGTGCTCATGTAAACAGTTCTGTACTACTGTACAAAGTAATCACAGATGCATCTTTAACCCATCTGCTAGCTAGAAAAATCTGTGACATCTGTGTTTTCATACCTTTTGAAGATGTATTATAATAATTTGAGAAAACAGTGGAGAGTTACATCTTTCCCAAATATGTTCAATAGGGACAGGTTGAGAAGGACCTTTTTTTGGTTTAATAGGCATGCTTACCATTTAACTAAAATATCTTGGAAAAAATCTGGGCACATGTTGAATAATTAGTGCACTGGAACAATATTAAGTTACAACTAGTAACTTTCGTTAAAGCAATGTGATGCATCATGTTCACATGAAAGAAGTCTCAAGGTCCATTAGCAAATTGTTCAAAGAGGATTAGTTACTAAATGAGCATGACTAGCTGGGAAGGGGGAATAACTTTGAGGCTTTTAGTCTATAAAACTACTCTGGATCTAGTAATCTTTACTTATTGTTATTGCATGGGGAACTTCACGTTTGGTGTGAGGGGAGTATTAACCTCTTTCTGCTTTATTATTTCTCTAGAACATCTGGTGAAGAAAGAGAGCTTGAAAAAACATCAATGGACTCTGCCTCTGAAACTAAATGATGCCACTGGAATTTTTTTAGAAGTATAAATAAAAGAGGGTTGTTTAAGTTTTGGATTTCAAATGTAGACTGCTGAAAGTTTTAAATAATTTTATAAGCATAGTATTTTAATGTTTAAAATTTTGTGGAATAAAAATCCCCTTTAATCTTGGTTTTAAAAGGACCGTATATACTCGATCATAAGCCAAATATTTTTGGTAAAAAAGTGTCGCATCAAAGAGCAGGGGTCGGCTTATAAACGGGTCTACACCAAAATTTGATTATTTTAAACTCTATAGAGTCCTTGAATTGAATATCTAATACATTGTCGTTTTGTTTACTTGGGAGCATCTGCAGGCATGGAGCCCCTCAGCTCCCTGTGGCCGCGGTTCGCCGTTCCCAGCCACTTCCCGCAGCTCCCATTGGCTGGGAACGGCAAACCGCAGCCACAGGGAGCTGAGGGGCTCCATGCCTGCAGATGCTCCCAAGTAAACAAAACGACAATGTATTAGATATTCAATTCAAGGACTCCATAGAGTTTAAAATAAGACGCTCCATGTAAACAAAACGTCCCAACCCGCCAGCGGCTCACCCTGACTGGCCAGGAGCCAAAGTTTGCCAATCCCTGAAATATAGGGTCAGCTTTTTGGTATTTTTACCTAACCATCTTGGGGGGTCAAATTATAAACGAACGGGCTAATGAACGAGTATATATGGTATTTAAACATTCTTGCTGATAGTTTTGTCCAGTATTATACAGGCTATACACAGTTCAAATGTGAAAAGAAAGTCCATTTAGGAAACTGAAAAAATGCTTGTATGTCATAAGAGTTGGAACTGTAGTATATTTTTACCTGACTGCTATATGTTAATGTCTAGTTAATGGCAGGAAAAAGTATAGACAACTTTTTTAAACTGCCAGACTGCTTCATTTGTATAAACCTATCCTCTTCCTAAAATACTGACCCGTTTGTGCATAGTTTTCAAAACTCTGATGTTAGTCAGATTTGTCTTTTCACTGTGTTTTGTAGGAGTTGAAAGCATTTTTATAGCAATTAAAATGTTAATGTATAAGTATACTTAATCACTCATTTTTTAAACAAAAGTTTAGTTTTGTTCTTGCAACCTCATTGTGCCAATATATAATGCTAGGTGACCTTCTGTGGTATGCTTTTGGTATTATAGATGTCATACTAGGAAAAAACGGACCTGATATTTCTATTGTACCTATTGATGCACATAGATCAGAAAAGATTGTCTTGAACAATTTCTAAAAAGTAAAGAATTTAAATGGATACAGAAGCAAGTGATTGTGCATATTTTTTTGTGTTGAGAGTTGCTTAAATTAACAGGTGTTCATATGGTTCAGAAGTATTATTGCCAACCCCAGGTCTAATTTTGAACAACTAAAGGAACAAGAAAGAAGATTGATCCAAGAGTTTGTCTTGGAATTAGTTT